TAAATGGAATTGTCTTGTATAAAGCATCACTATATGCTTGTTTTCTTTTGGATGTGCTTCTAAACCACACGCAACGCCTGTGCAAGAAAATGATTGTTAATACACCATTTGGGTTTTTACAAGCAACACCTCATAAACAAACCAGCTTTGAGAAACAGGCTGAGTCACATGCCAGAAATGCAACCAACTGACCAGCGCTCAGCAGATTTAACCGTAATGCTGGGCATAACAGCATGCTTTTAGCAGTACACCGTGACCTCAGTGCTAAAGCTTTATCTGTGTTCACTACCATGGTGATTTAAATTGAAAAACTGACTGGAGAACCTGACTGAAATGGTGAAATACAGAGCTACTGCCACTGACTGGGAAATGGAGTTAGGTTTTTCAGGCTATTTGACCTCCTTCACTGGAACTAAATTGATCAGAATAAAACAGACGTACTACCACAATAACCACATCAGCACTGTAAAATCAAGCACGACATCTGAAACTAAAAACCCCATTAATTTGAGAGAAAGCTGGTGTGGTTGTGGTCAAGAACAAGAGAGCTCACTGAAATGTGACCAGATTGTTTGAGAACAACCCTCAGTTTGCTGCAGTTGTCTCTAGTGTCCATGACAACAACCCCACTGCGGCTCATGGAGGTTTGTGGCAGGCGGTGCGGTATGGCAGCAATGCAGTCGGCATGAAGATAGCAATACAAGCACTTCAGCGAGGATTAAAGACTTCCTTTCTCATCTGTTATCCTCGCTGTCTCACTCTTTATCTCTGTCTGTCTTTCTCTCAACTACTTTTGCCACCATGGCGATCCACTAATCCAGAATAAACAAAAATCCTCACTGTTATGGTGAGTAATCATTTAAATATAAACACATAATGAATAAGGAGGTAAATTATTGCTTCATTTACTTCAAAGAGGCTTCCTAGGAGACATTTTGAGTCTGTCTGTCTGGCTCACAGACATCTGATGAAGTAGGGTGTGGATTTCTGGCTCATCAGGTCATGACCCCTGAGCCAATATAGTGCATTTATACATCACAGGCTGGTCCTTTTGTCACAGGAAGTGAAGGATTATTGTCTGACTGGCTGACTCTGGTGTGGCTCTGACAGGAGACAACACCTTTTACTTCCTGGAAGAATTTAAAAGGATCTGCTCTAGCCCTCACCTCACCCTTCATACGTCACTAAAACATTGATACAAAAAATAAAGTTAGCAAAAAATGATTCACTGTCACAGATGTTTGATCTCAAATCTCATAAGAATAACGTGACGTAAGAGTAATACTTCTTACATTTCTCAAATCTCAAAACAACTCCATAATTGAAGCAAAAGAGTTATCGTTTATAGTGATTGTGTATAGCAAAATCATTATGCTGATTTAAACTGCAAATATGTGCCTTTGAATATTTTTGAAAATATTTGAATTGAGTGGATTTTGAACGCAATTTCCACCAAAAATAATAATAATTATAAAGTATTGTATATAAAACTGTATTGCATGGTGATCACCGGCTATTAAATTCAGGGGAAATTTATCAAATGAATTATTAATCAATCAATTAGTAAACATTTTTCATTATAATCATCAAAACGGCTTTTTTTTTAATATAATAATTTCTTTCCAGTTCTTATTCAGGATTCTTTGATTAATAGAAAGTTCAAAAGAACAGCTTTTGTTTGAAAAAAATTTTGAACGCAATTTCCACCAAAAATAATAATTATTATAAAGTATTGTATATAAAACTGTATTGCATGGTGATCACCGGCTATTAAATTCAGGGGAAATTTATCAAGTGAATTATTAATCAATCAATTAGTAAACATTTTTCATTATAATCATCAAAACGGCTTTTTTTTTTATATAATAATTTCTTTCCAGTTCTTATTCAGGATTCTTTGATTAATAGAAAGTTCAAAAGAACAGCTTTTGTTTGAAAAAAACTTTAAACAATGTAAAAGTGTAATTTTAAATCAATTTAATGTGTCCTTGCTGAATAAAAGCATTACTTTTTTGGATTAAAAAAAAGAAATAAAAGAAAGCTTTTGAATGGTAGAGTATATATAATATATAAAGTTGGGAGTCCCCCTGCACACTAACAACCTGTTTTTCTTCGGTCATGTCTTATCTCGCCTAGTGGTATATAGTCTTCGCCAACTGGCATCAGAACACTAGGTGCTTGCTTACTTCTCAAAAATCTTCAGATCAAATAACCACTATGCTGATGCCAAGAATAGAATCCAAATCCAAACAGACAGTACATTTACAAAAACATATCCTGTGTTCTCATGAAGGAAGAATTAATGTTAATTTGATACACTGAAAAAAAAAAAAGGCTACAAACACAAGATTTTCAGAAGGCTCTCACACAAACCTACCGCACAAATATATTATAATCCAGCTTTAATTCAAAGGGGCTTTGTGAAATGTCTCACTATGTTGGCACACACATTCATCAGCCTGTACAGCTGATATCAGACACCACCTGCTGCGTATCTTTAATTCATCATACACACAAAAATACATACTGAAAATGTACATATGTGACAGCACGTTTACCCTAGAGCATAATGCAGACAGTCTTCTCACTTTCTGTCTCTGTGTTTCTTTACAAGCTCCAGGTGTTATCATTTCAGTGTGGTATGGACTTTACACACTGTGAAGCATGTTCCCATAAAACCCCTGTGATTTCAGCCCACCAAGCTCATAAATCAGAGGTGCACACAACCATCTCTCTCTTACACAGATGCTCCTCTGAAAACAAAATCTCGGCTGTAACAGGGATTTAGTTGTTCAGATAAATGTCACAAATTGAGTAATGCGCCTTCATTATGAGCTTAATTTTTATATGCCATACTTGCCTCAGAATTGACCCACAAAGCCTTTCCTCTGAGTTGACTGCAGGTGGATGCCCACTAAACACCCTGCTCGTTCACACCTCTGTTTCTGTCTATCTCTCTTTCCCTTCCTGTGCTGAAGGACATTGGGCCCTGTCTATATCACAAGGGCCCTCCTGCTGTCAAACAAATTCTGCCAAAACACACTGCGCAGTTTCCTGTATGGCGTGTATCGCTGCAGGGTGTAGCATCATAGGCAGGGAGAGCGAACAAGGGATCAAGTGTGAAGAGATTTGAGCATGTTAATCAAACTGAGCAGTGCAAAGGTGTTAAACGATAAAGGATGTTCACTCAACACTTGGTTAGGAACAATGAACAAGCACATCTAATGCCTCACCAATATAAATAAGTTCAAATAATTTGTATGAATGTAAGCCGAGTTAGTATCTTTCTGTGAGTCTTGCATTTAGTTTGGCTTAGTGTCTTAAAACTGTTAAATTTAGGTCAAAGTTCACTTTTAAGTATAGGAGATCTCTTCAAAATTTAAATTCTGTCATCATATACTAATTGTTCCAAAACCTGTTTGAATTTATTTCTTCTGTGGAACAAAAAATTTTCTTTTTTTTTCTATGCAATTACAACAAATGTGGACTGGTGCTTTCCGGTTTCAAAAACATTGAACTTAACGTTGAATAAATCTTCAAAAATCATACAGTACAATAACTTTATATGATGATCAGACTGAATTTAAATCATTATGCACTGATTCACAACAATCCATACCAAACTGTTTCTGTCTGTATCTTTCATTGAAGGAAAAACAAACAGACTCAAAAGAATAATTTGTTCATGAATCAAACATTACTTCATTCATTTTTAGTGAGTAACTTTTTTTTTTTTTTTTTTTTGGTCTGTTCATCACACAAAATTATAATATGACTTCAGAAGATCCATAATAGTGGTCAAGTCATATGGACCACACTTTCATGATGCCTTTTTTGTCCGTTTGGAGCTTGACCCCAGTCCCTATACATTTTCATTAGATGGAAAAGAGTGAACAGAATATGTTTTAAAAAATTACCTTTTGTGTTGGACAGAAGAAATTCAGTTTGGATCGGAATGACATGAAGGTGAAGAACCTATGACAAACTGTTCATTTTTGGGTAAACTGCTCAAGATGGACTAGATATATGAAGTGAGAAATGGCTGAGAAAAGAATAACATATTTACACGCAAGCAATTGCTCCAAATTAAAGACTTTTAGTAGGCAGCACCAGATTGATTTTATTTCATATGACATGCATCATATCAAAGCAATGCTGTTGTGCCAGAAAAAGCTAAAGGTCCATCGCTGAAACATGAGACCAGGTGAAGTTTATCACCCTTTTACTAGTTTACTCAAAGAACATGACCGGAGCTGCAAACTCATACTTTCCACTTGTCTTCTAATTGCTTTACAGTAATTCGGCAAACAACATAATCACAGATGTAATTGATAAATCACCCTAATGCTGAAATAAAGTTGAACTAAAGGAGAATTCAGATCACAGGGGACCTGTAAAAGTTAAATGTCAGCAGCTACAACGTGACCTTAAAATCCCACTTCATCATTTTATTCAAAGCACTGATGTGAACAGCAAGTTATGGGAATATCCAAAGGAAATCAGCTGGAATGTGTAAACGGGATTGGAGGGTCAGAAAGCAGGGTTCAGGTCTGGTTGTACCTGGAGGATGCAGAGTAACGATAACCTGCCACACAGCATGCAGAAATGACCCCTGGGTAATTGTACAATTATAAAATTCCTGTTTTTACAACCAAATGACAAGGTGAAGTGACTACTGCTGGTAGAAAGCAGTGGGGTGGGGTGTTTTTTTTTGATGGGGGAGGAGGGTCTCACTACCTGCTCCCTGTTGTGTTGTTTCTAGCAGATGATTTGTGACGTTACAGTGGAAAATCTTTTGGGGAAGCAGATTTTTATGGCAATAACTTGCAGAAGCTCAAGCAAAGACAGGGTTTTACAAAACGGCATGCCATTTAAACCTCAGCTTGGACCTCATCCATGACAAGAAACAATTTTCCTTTCATAGCGATCACATGCCCGTCAAACCCACGCACATATGCGTTATTCAAACTCAGGTCGCATCAACCTATTCTTTGTTTTACCTTTCATTTGAGAGGTCGTCTGCTTGCTCATTTGATCTGGAATCACAGAATGAATGGGGAAATGTATGGAGGAATGTCACAAATAAAACCACAAGGACTAAATGTTGCCCTGTATTCCCGGTACAGCATGTACACAATGCAAAGCTTTCCATTTAAATTATTTATTGTGTTTACACTAACGAGAATGCACGCAATTTACTTTTTATTATCTCTTTCTTCCCAACATCCACCTACTAAACACACACACACACATGCTACTTTTCCAGGGTTGTAAAGGAGGAAAGGCACCTGAATCAAATGGAAATCAGTCAATAACCACAGAGACAAACAGCTCGAATAGTCTTTTCAAACAAATAAGTAGGCCTGTGTAAAGGTATGTGACCACAAGAGCCTAATGTCACATTCACACACACAAACTTTCATGCCACACATAATCCAGACAAGATTACAGAGCTAAACTACATTTATATATGAGACTGGCTCTGCCTAGAGTCAACAAAGAGTCCCTTCCTCTGAGACACTTTTGCTTTTATGTTGCTGCAATTCACGTTTACGAATCTGGAATTTCACCCTTTGATCACAGCCAGAATAAAAGCTCATGTAACAATTCTCGTTTACTTTGCTGTAAGCAAAAACCATTGATTAAAATGTTAAATGCTATGTTGCTTTGGGTGCAACGTCATCCATTCTGACCTCATTGCTAAACAGTGACCAATAATATTTTTGTAAAATCTCTTGTATTTCTTTAGAATATATGACCACTATGTTGTAATTATCTTTACTCTGTAAACAGACTAATCAGAAATAACAAAAAAATGGACTGGTTTAGTGAGTTGTAAACTCAATCGCAGCTCTGATCAATTCACTAAGTGAGTTTGATTCAAACCACTAATGCCAGGTACACACTGCATGTTTTTTAAAGTCGTCAGATTGCTGTTCTTCTCACTACATGACTGTCTGGGGTACCATTTAGTTGCTGTTGTGTGCATACTACACAACGAATCAGAGACGAGGGTCACACATTACACTACTTTTCAATAGGAAGAATCGCCAACAAACTACGTTTCACAACTAAACATACGCAAGAAGTAATAAAGGAAATAATGCAAGATGCCGTGTGAGAGAGGAGTGCTTGGCCAGACTGAATTTCTTCTTGTTAATAATTGTAGCCCGCAAGAAGCTTGTGATACAAATTGTCTGTGCGCCGATTTGCAGTGTACAAGAAAAACAAAGAAGAATATGAAGGAGAGGATGGTTGCTTTTTAGAAGCTATGCTTGCTGATGTTTTATTGTATGTCTTTGACTCCTCCCACGAACTTTCCCTTGCCCTGTACCTTGCTCTCTCATTGGCTGTAGGTTGTTGCCCATGTAATTTCCAGTCAAAACACATTCACACTGCAGGACTCACAGACAGGTCCAGATATTTAGCATGCTTTTCCAACCTTTTCCTAGCATGCTAAATATCTCATGGCCATTGGAGACGAATCGGTGCTTCTCTCAGATCACATCTTTGATAATACACACTATGCAATTGTCACTCAAGTGAACGAGCACCGATTTTGCCTCCTATTTCAAGCATTTGTTGGTGAGTGAAAATTGGGGCTAAAATCATGCAGTCTGTACCTGGCATAAGCGGACATTTACACAGAACGCATGGTGTGTGCCTGAGTTTGTGACTGTTTTGTGAAACTTTTGCACTGATAAGAGTCATTTGTTCGCAGATCGAAAGCACACTTTAACAAGATTCTGACAAACTCGTGTATGGATCTTTTCCTGACTAGCTTAGACAAATCAAAAAATTTTAATTGTCGCAAATGTTTTTTGTCGATTGTAGTCGCAGTCTTGAGCTCTTAGAACCAGTACATCTCGGAGAGTCACTGGGACTAATCGCAGGCATGTATGTACTGGCTTGCTCTGCATGTTAATGTTGTGCCCTTGGGCAGTGTACTAATCCTTATCTTGACCCTAAACTTTGGGATGCTGTCTTTAAAACCTGGAACAGTTCTAGCTACAGTCAAATTGCACTTACTAAGTAGTCTACAGCCAGCTACCTTCAGGCATTGAACAGTACACCTAAATCCACAGTCAGATCAGTGCTGACAAACATATCACTACAACAGATAGTGTAGTATCAGATACATCCAATTCAAAAGCAAATGCTCCCTCTGAAATCCAGCTGGAGTCATAGCACAACTGCTAACACATATGCAAACACACATACCACATGCATCACCCAGTGATTTATGGCACGCAGCAATGCCCGGCCTCTGACATGGTGATAAAGGAACGGAATGCATTTGTTCTCTAAGTGGGGCTTTCCCATTAAACCACCTACTGACATACGCAGGCAGCTGGGGGTAGTTCATTACCACAGAAACACTTAGATTGATCAGAGTCTGCGTTTATTTCACTTACAGTATGTTTATTGGTTCGATGCTGGTAGGGTATAATAAAAAATATGGCTACTTTCATATTATTTAATATGATGAAAGCTGCACGTCAAATAAATAGTATGTCCAAATGTGCAATATTCATGAAGAAATACCCGGATGACATACTCTGCATCAGATGGTCATTATACTATCCCATGAGGCCACAGAACAGGAGTCATCAAATTTGTAAACGGCAGAGAACAGCAACACATCTAAAGTCATTGGTCACATAACAATTGCATTATGGTGGATCGTATTCATACTAAACACCTACATACTTACAGACACTCTGCACAGTACACCACCATTTGAAAAGTTTGGGTTCAGTAAGATTTTTTATGTTTTTTTAAAGAAGTCTCTAATGCTCACCAAGGCTGCATTTATTTGATCTAAAATACAGTAAAACACTAATATTGTGAAATATTATTACAATTTAAAATGAGTTTCTATTTTAATATATTTTAAAATCTAATTTATTTCTGTGGTGGTAAAGCTGAATTTTCAACAGTCTTACTCCAGTCTTCAGTGTCACATGATCCTTCAGAAATCACTCTAATATGCTGAATCAGTTGTACTGCTTACTATTTCTGTGGAAACTGTGATACAATTTTTTTCTGGATTATTTGATGAATAGTTCAAAGTTCAAAAGAACAGCATTTATTTGAAATATAAATGTTTCGTAACATTATAAATGTCTTTACTGTCACTTTTGATCAATTCACTGTGTCCTTATTGAATAAATATTAATTTCTTTAAAAAAATCTAAATATCTTGACCCCAACATTTTGAAAGGTAGTGTATTTTTATTTAATTGAATGCAGTACAAACTCTGAAAGTCAGTTCCTAGAGGAAGCTTTTTTTTCACCCATTAGGCAGCAGCAGGTGGTGTTAGTGGGAGGGACATTTTCATTCTAGAGTGCATTTGATTGGATAAAAATCTGTCTAGTGCAGAATGAGTCATCAGCATTTTGGTCCATTTTCCTTGAAAAACACTGTAAATTTGAAATGCGTTTATCTGCAAAATGTGAATGCTTGCACTAACATATGGATGGATTCAAAGCTAAAAGCTACAAAACTCTTGATTTAATGGTTTCATAAATACAAGGTTGTGATGATGTACAGGATTCGGCTGCAGTACTCACAGTTTAGGTTTGGGTTTGGTGGGGACAGGTGGAGCCTTAACAGCTGAAGGTGATGGAGGCGGAGCCGCTGTTACCTTCACACTTGAAGGTGATGGTAGACTCTCATCTGGTGGCTTGTTTAAGGCCTGACCATTTTGTAGAGATCTGTCAGGTAGACTTTCCTGAGGCTCTTTATCGGTGGAGACCTGAACAGGCAGCGCAGTGACCCTGGGCCAGATGTCCAGCTCATTGATCTGGAAGGCCTCGGCACTCGGCGGGGTTTTGGGTGGGACTTCCAGCAAACTAATCTCAGTCGGCGGAGGAGGTGGAGGCGGGAACGGTTGGTTGTCCTCAAACACACTATCATCCCCGGATACGCCGTTGCTGGGCAACTCTTCAGCAACTAGAAATCCAAGATAACAGAAGACAGCACAGTTCATCATAGGGTGAGAACAAATTTATTTTCCTGTTAAGTGGGTGATGAAATCCAGATGATCCACGTCACAATGCATTTCAGTGGAATAAAGGAGGAAATATGGGGTATATGAGTAACTGAGAAAATCACTTCATAGTTTTGTCATTGTAGAACAATCAGTTTTTACAATGCTTTAACAACCATTGCAAAATGCCGAAACACACCTGAAGTGGAAGAAAACTTATCATAACTATCCATAATCCTGGATAAACAGTTAATCCACAGCTAAAACATAATCCAAATCTTTATCATGAAATCTGGCTGAGATTGTCTCAGATTTACTTAAATGGCTCTGTAGTAAACTTGAGGCTTAAAGACTCCTGGAAATATAAGTACACCCACTCCATCATGCAGTATAAACATTCATCCCTCTCCTCTCTTTGCCATGTGACACATACAGCTATCAGCTCATACTGTATCCTCTCTCCTCACCCACACTCCGACTCTGGAGTGTTGTGGACAGGATGTGGCTGGTTGGCCTCATGCAATTGACATGTTTTCAAGATGTACCACAGTGGGCCTCATAAAATGTCATCAAAAGATCACCGATGGAATTGCTATGCCTTTTTTGGAAAGGGTATTTTAGCTACTGCTTTGTAAATAAATGAAATCATTACGATTCCTGTGTTACATCACTTATATTTACTACTTAATATGAGAGCATGCTGTAAAGTTGAAACCATCAACTGACTGTTTACTGTGCTTAATTTTGTTGTTTTCAGAGGTTTATTTATCCCTAGGCCTTCTTTCAACTCATGTCATATTGCACTCAAAAGAATACTGGACTTGGGCATAAACAGGAGCCATTCCTTTTGTGTAAAGAGCATTATGTAAACATCACTACATTTTGTTTAAATCATTTATGATTTATAAATTTACCATATAAGTATTATAAAAGTGTTCCATATCACTCTTACGCAGAAAAAATCAAGTCATACAAAGTGATGTGTAAAGAGCTTTATGTAAACATCACTACATTTTGTTTAAATCATTTATGATTTATGCTTGAAAAAGAAAACAAACTTAATACAAGATCTATTCTTTGATAGCAAGTCTTTATTTTAAAAATATTCTTTCTTCATCAAGAATTTAAAATTATATATATACACTACTGTTCAACAGTTTGGGGTTAGCTAGATAATTTATACAATTATTCAGTTAGGATTCATTAAACTGATTTCTGTTCTTTTGAACTTTCTATTTATCAAAGAATCCTGTAAAACAAGTATAACATTTTCCAATAAATGATTAAGCTGCACACATTTTTTTGCTAAATTACTAATAAGAAATTTCTTGATATTCAAATCAGCATATTAGAATGATTTCTGAAGATTCATGAGACACCGAAGACTGAAAATTCAGCTTTGCCATCACGAGAATAAAATTATTGATTGATTGACTGACTGATTAATTGATTGTAATAATATTTACCAGTATTGCTGTTTTTACTGTATGTTTTCTAAATGCAGCCTTGATGAACATGAGACGTTCAAAAACATTTAAAAGATCTCTCTAACCCCAAACATTTGATTAAGATAGATACTTGTTATTTATTACACGGTTTGATCATTGGTTTTTCAACATGAATATGTTTCTTTAAATTTGAACCTCGTGCACCAATATATCACCAGGCTACTTTAATATTTACATTACCATGAACTTTGATCTCAGATATAGTTATTGTAGACACAGTGTAAACGCACCTGGGGTGACAGTGAGTTGTGCAGTGCTATTAACTGCGCCATATTGGTTGGTTGCAGTGCAGCGGAACAGACCTCCGTCTTCGGGGAACGCCTCTGCAATCACCAACGTACAGATTTCCTCTGCAAGACCAATCACAGGAGCCGTCAATTACTGAGTCATCAACATCACAAGCAAAACCAGATTAGAAACGGATTTAATCAATTACACGCGGACACACACACACATATGCTTGAATCATTCAAATTAATTCGCTATTCAAGCTACTGTAACTGGCCAGTTTTTCAACATAATCTACTGCCGTTATGGAGCATCCAACAATGCTTTCTCCAGAGACCCGAGAATCACACTTCCTGTAATGAGGAAGGGATGTAGAAAGGTGACAGACAGGTGTGGTGAATCTAGACAGGTAATTGATGGTTACAGAGGTGATTCAATAGCAGAGAGAAGTCTACTGCCACAAACAGAGGCTGTGTCTCATTCCTTTTCCATGTTTCCTATGAGGTGATTCAGTAAATTGTGAACACCAATTTGATCACTAGCAAGGGCCTTGAGCCCTAAACACTGAGACAGTGAGAACTTGTTTACCTGTGACACCATTACAAATTACAAGGCTCATATTAAAATGTAGGTGGTATTTGTCAACAAATATACTATATACTGTATTACTCAATCCTTCATTTGTTTACCATGCATTATTTGTTGTCACTGTTAAAATGAACAAAACCAGTACGAAATGTGCTTTCACTCCCTTTTTCTGACAAATTTACAACATTTGTGGTATATGAACTGAGTGACTGGCCGATACTCACTGATTTTCATGGTGCAATCTGGGAATTTCTATGGACAAATTTGATTTTGAATGAGACAGACCTAGAAATGAATGACTCCCTTGACCGTATATGTCCTACTGACCTATTGAGCAGATTGAGAAACACCCAAAGATAGAGGTGAGAGTTACCACCCTAAGAGCAAGAAGATGAGCCATATGCATGTATAGATATGTGAAAGTATGTGACTCATAAGCGGTGTTGACATGCGTTTGTGCTGTTCATTTGTTCCGTTAATCAGAGATTTTCGAGTCATATCTAGTCTGTACTGCATATTGCGTAGTAATGATGTCACAAATGTTGGGATTACAGAGAATTATTATCTTGATAAATCCTTATGTACACATGTATTTGGAGGAAAGTGTTTTTTATGAATAAGAGGAGTGGAAACAGGGGAAAGTGGAAGCAGGAGTAAAACACTCACCAGGTTCTGCAGCGGATCTTGGCTCTGATGAAAAAGGGATATGGGAATTAAGAGAGAAACACAAACACCATAACAAATCACTCGTTACCAGTCAACCAATAAACCAAACATAGTTTCTCAAATAGTTTGAATAGTTACTCAAAAAAGGAAAATTCTGTCAACATTCATTTTTTTCCAAAACTGGATGACTTAATTTTCTCCCTGGAGCACAAAAGGAGAATTTGAAAGAATATGCTAGTCACTCTGAGGTTTTCAAGTGTTCCATATGACTCTTGTGCAGAAAAAAAATCAAGGCATACAAGGTGAGTAAATGTTGAAAGAATTTTTCATTTTTGGATGAGCTCTTCATTTAAATTCACAAATTTGAATGAAAAAAAGCAGTGTGTTATCCCGGTAGGCATCTGTTGGTGTTGGTCAGCGCTTCTTTTTGCAGAATAATCATGATTAAATATGCATTTGCTGGGTCTTGGAATGCCTGAGAAGTGACGTATTGTAATCTGTCGATTGTAATGGTTTGTCTGCGTCTGTCGTGACGTGTGAATTGGCCTTAAAACGCACTAGTATATATATATTTTACATAACATCAATGTCGATAGATGACAGCCCAGCATATAACACCATTGCGGTTTCCCAAAATAAAATACATGAAGATCAGCGATGCTAACACTTGCTAAAGAACTACTGAATGCCACTTTAAATTGTTGTCTGAGTTACTCTTACTCTTCTGCAGCATGCGGAAGTCAGGGGAGTCCTGGATCTCCTGGCCCTCTCGAAACCACTGGACACGCAGAGGAAGACTACCTCTCACCCGGCACTCCAGGACCACCACCTGACCTTCAGATGCCTGCGCATCCTGCAACATCTACAGAGCGAAAGGACCGCAGGTTAACACTGGAAATACAGACTGAGAGGTAAACAAAGGGAAAGAGAACAGACAGATGAAAAGAAAAACTGAAGAGACAGATGAAAAGGTGTACAACCACTAATTCTGCTCTTTCTTCATCACCTCCTTCATTCTCAAGTACATACACTTTCAGACTGAAGACATAACAGACATAGAGGCGAGAAACTGTCAGCAACCCATAAAAGTAAAAAGAAGAGTAGAGTAGTTTGTTTATACATGTGTGTGTGAGTTGCTTTCTGTTGTGCGTTCATTCTCTTTGAAGCTTTGTGTAAGTGTGTAGCATGCTTGTGGTTACACATGATGTGTTATAGGTTTATTTAAAGTTCAAGTAAAGAAGTATGTCTTTACAATCCAGCCATTTCATTTGTGTGCCTGTTTGTTTAGGACTATGATGATGACACGAAACCATCTATTATAAAAAGGCACATCTTCTCATTAGGAAGATTAAAGTCTCTCAGAAGAAAGATGGAGTGGGATAATGGAGAGAAGGGGGGGGGCTAAAAAAACTTTCTTTCTTTAAGGAGGTGGAAAATGATTTAGCACACTAAGCAAACATAGCATTTGGCATTGAACTCTGAACCTCTGCCTAGGCCTGCACAGAGAGTCACATGACAAATCACACACACACCAACACAGAAAGCAGGCCTGGAATAATTTGGTAAAGCTCATACTATTACATACGATTAATCTGTCCATTTCTCAAAATATGTGTGTGTGTGTGTGTGTGTGTGTGTGTGTGTGTTTGTGTGTTGTGTGTGGCCGTGTCATTACCTTAGTAAAGGTAGGGGGTGCTTTAACAGGAGCATCACCAGCATAGAGTGAAGAAACTGGACTCTGGACCTGACAGAGAGGGAGAAAGAGAGACAATAAGTGTGGTTATTATGGATCTTTCCAGAGAGCATGAATTTTTATAAGTCCATCTGCTGTTGTCATTCCTGATGAATCTTTCAGACATATTTGTGCATGTGTCTATTTCTCTGTCATTGTAGTAGATAACTTATTATTAACTTGTTTCTAGGTTTTAAGACTCATTCCTGCAGCACTCTATAGTATACAGTTTCAGTGCCAAAATAGGAGGTATAGTCTGCGTGTGTATTTCTTACTCTTTGCGGTGTAGAAGAAAGCGGCTGGACCAGTGTGGAGCGATGGGGATGGGCCTCTGGGCTCTTTGGTGATGATGTGTGTATCGTCAAGGAAACTGAGCTGATTTTCTTCTGTGCCCTGAGAGAAAATATTAGCAACACTAAAACAAACCTCATTCAGACTTGAGAGAACAAATCATCAACACTATAAAGTCATGCTTCAAAAAAACATTTAGATATAAAGTAAAGAACACTTCTCACATCTTGCAATATTCATGTGCGTTTGAAATAAACCTTGTGACTGAAAGAAATGGGTATTTTGAGTCATCCTGGCTGAAAGTTGAAAACATTTTGTCAAGCAATGACAAGTGTATCAATCTTTTTGCTCCGTCACAGTCCATTAAAATTTCTTCAAGTGAAGTTATATTTGTATTATATGTGACGCAGTTTAGGGTCACATATAACAAACCAGGCAAAAATACAGAAACAGCTGGGTTATATTTTGCCTCAGAATAAATCAGTGGTCAGAATTTGTTTCAGTGCTGGTCAGGGTTATTATATTTCACTAAAACTAAAACCCTTCTATCAATCCATCCATTTCCAAACTGCTTTATCCTCTGCAGGGTCACGGGAGGCTGGAGCCTATTTCAGCATTTTGGGCCACAGGCATCTCAGGTCATCCTGAACGAATGGCCAATCCATCTCAGGGCTCACACACAGACAATGTAGAGTGTTCATTTCACCTATGCTGCATGTCTTTGGATTGTGGGAAAAATCGGAGATAAAACTAAAACCATAAAAGCATTTTTGTTACTTGTAAGTAAATAAAATAAATGTTAACTGAAATAAAATAAAGTATTTTATTTCAACTAGTTGCCAAGGCAACATTTCTCTTTTTTTTTAAGTTAAATTTTTAGTTTAAATGTATCAAGTTTAGTTTAACTTGATGTACTAAAATAAATAAAAAGAAAACTAAAATAAATTAAAAAAGAAAAAATCAAACAGACTTAAAAAAATAATAATAAAAATGAAAAAACATTTTACAAAAAAATTTCATTTTTTTTACTAAAATGAAAATCTAAAATCTAAAAATAAAAACATTCAAAATAAGAATTTAAAACTATAATAGTATCTCAATAATACTAAAAACACTAGTGTTAGTGAAAAAGATGTAGATAGATGTACAGTAGTGTTTCTGATGCCCATGGGCAGATCTTTGCCAGACTGAAAGTGAGAGTGATATTCTATTTGAGCATATTAAAAAAGCTATATCCATCTCTAATGGGCCGATACAGGTTTATTTAAAGTCTTAAAGGGGTCATATGATGCGATTTCAATTTTTCCTTTCTCTTTGGAGTGTTACAAGCTCTTGGTGCATAAAGAAGATCTGTAAAGTTGCAAAGAGTGTTTGTCTGACTTTTAAAACATTAGGGGCCAGACTTACTAACAGCTTGCGCCAACGCAAACCGTCTTTTGGCATTAAAATAGTACTGTCAGGATTTACTAAAGATGCGCAGTGAAGAATTAGCGCTGAAAAGGTGCTATGAAAAAACCTTATTGAATATGCATTTGTAGGAGTTTCCCTTTCAGACTCAAAATTTCTGGGAGGAGAGTATTAAAATGAATCACGCAACGCGATTTACTAACGTCTGCGCTTGTCAAATTACTGGTATTTGTGCCATTATTTAACATCCCAAAAAAAAAAGTGCTGCTCTTGGTAGATTGTGTTGGTCATTATGGAAATGATCTGGCTGCGTCTGTTTTCTTTAATTTGCGCATTGTCAGTAAATCACCCGAAGAAATTTCCACTCCCATTAGCACATTTTTGGAATTGCACTCTCAGGCTAATTCGCCCTGTTTAGTAAATCTGGCCCCAAGTCATTTAATTTAAAGTGAAAGTTTCCGACAGCAAATACATAGAAATATAAGCTAAGAAAAGTTATAAACGATATAATGTTGGAAATTGTTTACATGCTCTCTGTGTGGGGTAATTGCTCTCTAACACGCACCAATTTACACACACACACACACACACACACACACACACACAGACAGACAGAGTGAAGTAATATCCACTCCACACTGTCTGAATTTTCACTATGCAGTTTGCACCTTATAAATGACTTTGGAGCCATGAAAGCGTAATCCCAAATGGGTGCGATGATGTCACTGGGCACCAGAGCCAAACGCTTAATAATTTGTGTAAACAGTAAGGAAAGACTGATAGTCCAGTAAAGACAAGAGATGACAGGAAGAGAAATAAGCGGATGACTGAAGAAATCAGAGGTGACTGAAGAGAGTTCAAGCGATCACACAAAGTAAGAAGATTAGACAACACGATAACTAAATTCTTGATTGATCATTGGCCATCAAAGACAAGCAGTCTAACAGCTTTGGCTATTCTTTAAGGTCACTTCATACCCAAACAACCTGCCATGTTCTTCAGGAGGAGTAATACAAACTTTCATGGCAGAGGGTAAATTATGGGCTATTAGATCATACATAGTCAGGGCCAGTTAAGCTGAGGTCAAAGGGTTAATTAAAGGTCCTGCGAGGTAGAACATGCTGAAACACACATACTGTGGCATGGCTCCAGACCTAGACTTCGACACGGATCCTTCACCTTCTGAGTCTGAGGAAGAAGTGCCTTTACAGAGAGAAACATAATGAGAAAATGGAAGAGAAAACCATTAACTCCTGGTTAAAACATTTTAGGCTGCACGTTGCCTTCCTTTTACTGTTTAAGGCTCGTTCACTCCAAGGGAGATAACTATAATGATAACTATAAAGTTTTACCAATCATACTAATATGAGAATAGCGAAGTTCACACCACAACTTTAACAATAACAACACAGAGGAATGATAGTTCATCACTTACAGCTGATGAACGATAAAAACAATGACAGCCAATCAGAATCCATCCTGCTTTAAAAAGCAAGCAAGTGGCAGACAACAAATCTGCATCATGCACTGATGATAAACAATATTATTGTGTGTTGCAAATATAGCTATCATTATAGTTATTTTTTCATTATCATTCTTGGTGTGAACGGACCTTAAGTACTGAGTAAATGTGCAGTCACATTTACCTTTGCTCAGCAAAACTGCATGGATGAAATCCAGTCATTTTTAATAGGAATCCATGTGATCAGGAGTTTTATGTAAAGGTGAAAGGCCTTGGCTATTATTTAAGGTCACTTCATACCCAAACAACCTGCCACGTGCTTCAGGTTAGGTAACAGAAACTTTTATGGCACTAAATTAGGGGCTATTAGATAATACATAGTCAGGGCCGGTTAAGCTGTCAGCTGAGGTCAAAGGGTTAAAGGTCACGTGAGGAAGAACATGCACGGATCCTTCACCTCATAGTTTGAGGATAAAGCAAATTTACAGAGTGTCCACTAAATTTTGCTGAAATTTCAATAATGTGACTGTGCCTTAATACTATTAAACATCATCTAATTAGTATAATGTAATTATTTTGTGGTAGTAATTATGTTTCATTTGAATTGTTTGCAAAGCATTGCTAAATATACATTTTTCATATTTATACAAATTATAATACACAATATTTTTCTATTTCTAAACATTTATCCATTTGCTACTAGATTTTATTAGATTTATGCTTAAAACATAAAACAGAAAGAAAATACTTTCTTGTGTAATAATTTATCTTGTATAAAGGATGATAATATTTTATTACTTTGAAAAATATATATATATATACTGATCAAAAAATGATTTAACTATGACCTCACCTTCAATATAGACCTCTGCAAAGGTGTTGTCTGCTCCCAGTGCGTTGGAAGCTACGCAGGTGTACCTGCCGGTGTCGTCTTCAAATGCTTCAGTTATCACCAGAGTGTGCAAGTCACCATTACGACAGATCTGGATATCAGGGCAGTGGTGCAGCTCCCGCCCCTCACAAAACCACCTGTCCAATGGAACAGAGAGGACGGCATGTCAATCAAAGGGAGTGCCCAATTATATTAAAATATTGTTAGCTAAAATGTGACCCTGGACCACAAAACCAGTCATAAGACATAGATTTTAACATAGATTTATACATCATCTGAAAGCTGAATAAATAAGCTTTCTATTGATGTATGGTTTGTTAGGATAGGACAACATTTATAAGATATACAACTATTTGAAAATCTGGAATCTGAGTGTGCGAAAAAAATCTAAATACTGAGAAAATCGCCTTTAAAGTTGTCTAAATTAAGTAATATTGTTCAATTAAATTAGATTTAATCAAAACAAACAAATATGCATTGATTTATCTCACAAATAATATGATTAATGCAAGGGGAAACTACTAACCTATTAATCACAAAAACTCTCAAATCTGTAGCAGTACTGACCGTGATGTATGTGTGAGAAAGAGGCAAAATAAATGTAAATGAAGGACTGAGGTCATGTTTACTGTAAAACCACTGGTCGCTTAGTTGGCTGCAATCAATTTTCTCTTACAGTCTCTTTGTGTGGGTTTCAAACTGGTATTACTAATCCCCACCAAAACTCTCATCTAAGGGTGAGTCAACTCTCAAGAAACTGAGAGCAGATTTCCCTCATTAGAGTGATATTTCCCAGTTCATCAACATTGCATTGCTGTTAAAACCATTCACTCTTTCATCAAAAAGAGTTTCATCAAAGCTTAAATACTGTGCTGGCAGTCAAACTTGTGTGTGACTTTAAGATGAAGTATGCAGAATTCTGAGAAAAAAGTCAAAGTTGCAAGGTTTAAACCTGCAATTCTGTGAAAAGAAGTCAGAGTTACAAGATATAAACTCAGATTTGTGAAATTTAAACTATATATTTATAACTAAAATATATCTCACAATTCTGACTTTTTTTCTCAGAATTGAGAAAAAAGTCAGAATTGTGAAATAAAAAGTCTCAATTACCTTATATATTTTTATTCTGTGGCAGAATCAGGTTTCTATAAATATGGTAGGGTATTGTAATGTTAAAAATAATCAAATATAAAATAAAAAATATTACTATTTCCATTTTGAACATCTAATCTGTGCTTTTCAAAATAAATAGTCTTGACCAAGCAACGTCCTGACAATTAATGTAAAACATTGAGTAGAATCTCTAAACTAGTTGAACACAGAAAAGTAAATCAGTGTGTCTCTGACAGGTTTTGTTGCTTAGTCATGACATTAAGCGATTCTCAGACAGGGAGGAATGTTTAGATTGATGTGTGTGCATGACACATCAAACACTCACACACCTAAATAAAAAGTCTCAATTACCTTATATATTTTTATTCTGTGGCAGAATATGGTAAATATGGTAGGGTATTGTAATGTTAAAAATAATCAAATATAAAATAAAAAATATTACTATTTCTATTTTGAACATCTAATCTGTGCTTTTCAAAATAAATAGTCTTGACCAAGCAACGTCCTGACAATTAATGTAAAACATTGAGTAGAATCTCTAAACTAGTTGAACACAGAAAAGTAAATCAGTGTGTCTCTGACAGGTTTTGTTGCTTAGTCATGACATTAAGCGATTCTCAGACAGGGAGGAATGTTTAGATTGATGTGTGTGCATGACACATCAAACACTCACACACCTAAAGTGGGGACACCACACTTCATTGTGACACACAGGTCTGGGAATCATAAAGTCTGCAGAGAAAGATCTTTACTCACCACACACACACCAAATGCAATTTCTATAAATCAGTTACTTGAGATGTCAGTCAGTGTTCTAATCCCCCCGAGGCATGAATATGAAAACTAGTATACCTGTCTCAAGCACCAGTGGGTGTTTGTTACGGGAAGCACAGGCACACACACATAAACACACAGTCTGGGTCACAGCGACTCTAACGCCTCCCCAATAATACATCATATTGTGCGATTCATTCAAGTTTTCTTTGTACTCCAAGTGTCCCAGACCACGTTCATCCATTCATATACCCGCACAGTCACGCACACACACACTTTAAAATGTGTCTGAAGTCGTCTGGAATGAGTTCTGGTTTAGGCGCACAGCTGTTCATTCAGCTCGTCTCCGGATCTTAAAATACTCTGGGACATCATTAAGACTTCTATAAAGAATCCCAACATTCCGGAGCCTGCTGTGTCCGTTTCATTCCATCCCGGCAGTCGAAGGCTTTATCCATTTTCTGCTTCATTCTCATTACCAAATTGAGTTCCTCTGTCCATTAAAGGGATATCACCCAAAAATGAAAATTCACCCTCACCCTCATGTTGTTCCAAAGACTTTGGTTAATCTTTGAAACACAAATAAAGATATTTTAATGAAAATTGAAAGGCTTCAGGTAACCACAACTTAAAAATCCAAAGTTTATAAAGGCACCGTAAAATTAATCCATATATAATCTTCTTGTGAAGAGATACGGTCGCTTTATATGATGGCCAGATTTAATTTAGGCCTTTTTTAACATCTAAACAATGATTGACATACATACAGCTCATCATATACTGTATGGCAAACACAGAAGCACATGCGTGCATCACACACTATAGAACAAACCTCATTGGTTCTCATACATCATCATATAAAGCGATCATATATCTTCAGAAAACGTATAATCTTCTTAATTCATATTGGTTAATTTTATAGCACCTTTATAGTTGGATCTTTTAAAGTCCAGACTGTTTTGGTAACTGGACTTTCAATGGAGGGACAGAAACCTCTCAGGATGTGTTTTGTGTTTCAAAGATTAAACACAGTCCTATGGGAACGACGTGAGGGTGAGTAAATTGTACCAGAATATTCATTTTTGGGTGAACCATTCCTTTAAATTTCTATCTGCTTCAGATCTGCTTTTTTTGTCTCTGCATTTGAAATCAGATCCCTAAACATTGATTCTTTCTCCAAGGCTATAAAAGTGAAGGATCTCTGTAACATTACAACTGAAATGTCTCTTCTGTGTGTTTGTGTAAATGTTTGAAACTGTTAGAGTCACTTTAGAACACCTTTGTGAATCCTGGAAAGATTCCAAGACATTCCAAGGTTTGGCGGCTCCATTTCGCACCCTTCTGCCGTTCATGGCTCGGACAACAGAACCTAATCTATCACTCATCCTCTTTGACTCGTCAGCACACACCGAAAGAACAGACAAGCTGCTCAAGCGAGTATGTCATCACATTATATCATATTCATGGATTCAAATGTTATTAACCATGTTCAGAACCAATGGTTAACGGTCAATTTAATGGCATCAGATGAAACACATTAAGTGTGTAGTGTTCAGTTCTCTATATATATTCATTTCTTTCTGTCTCTCCACCTCTATACAAGCTCATGCTAGCCTAAAACACTCATTTATCTAGAGAGGGAGAGTTATGGCTGATTTTACAGTGCCAGGACAGGTGTGTGTCTGATTCACCACAGCATCAAACTAGCTTTTTGGTTCTGCGAGGGTTTTTTTTCCCCTTAAGGATTATTGGTGGTTTAGATCAAATTCCAAAAACACAAAACACTTAATAAAACTAATTAAAGTTTTAGAAAATTGATGGCACAAGAACATGTCTAAGGCTGGGGATTACATGTTGTCTAGAAAGTATGTCTAATGGCTATAGTTTTCAGTAAACTTTATAATAATTATAATCAAGATACAAGGACAGTAAAGGTGAATTTCTATTTTACTGGCAACAGTGATTTTTTCATACATATTATTTTAAGGTCAATTGCTTGTGTTTTTTTGTAAGTTGCTAAATTAAATGAAAGTTGCTGAATGAATAAAGGTTAATAGAAATGAGTGCGTCCCATGTTTTAAGAGGGAAACTCATGTCAGGACACGAGAGTGAACAGAGGCTCAGGTCATGTATGTCCAGCAGCTGGAATGTTTCACATAAATCACAGAGACAGGCAGACATGTTGTGTTTGTTATGTGGTGAAATCAGTCTACTTTCATTCTAAGATGTTCTGCATTTGAGACATCACTGTCATTGAGGTCAGGAAGCAGACTGAAATGTGGATTAGCTTGAGTCTGCTTGATCACATTCAGATGGAGAAGCTTCTAATTGCTCGACTAAAGCATCATGTCCATGTGTTTCAGATCCTGTGGGAAGGCAAAAGCGTTTGTGTGCTTTACCGCAACTACAGCAAAATTAAGCCCAGATCTGGCATTAAGGGTATCTGTCGTCTTCACCCCTTCTTCACTCAATCTACAGCTATTCCCTCATTTGTCTTCGTTATTAATTCTCTCCTCTCTTTTCTCGAGTTACCACTTTTTAAGCATATTTCAAGAACCGCGGCTGGCTGTGAAACACTTTTGATGAACTGCCTTACGACTCAAACCCACAGCACATATTATTGCCATCAGGACCAAACACGTCACTATACATACAATATACTGTACATGTGTGTTCACTAAACTGCAAACTGGCAACTAATGTATCTCTATGCAGCTTTTGAAACAACATGCATTGGCCTACACTGATAAAAAGATTTTGGGGTTCAGTCCCATTCGCCTTTTTTCCAGAATGCACTGGGATAGAATAATTATTATGGTTGCATTACTCAACTATTTAGCAATTTTAGATTTAGTTGAAATGAAGTACATAATATTGAATAATTCAAAACTAAACAAAAATGAAATCTTTGTTATGAAAATTATGTCTATAAAAACACGAGTTGATTAAAAATATGAAATTATAAATAATATAAGCATTTAAATAATAAGAATTCATAAATAAAGTTCTAAATATAAAGTATAAAATATATAGCCTTATGCTTAAGACGAATATGCAGTCACGACAACTCAACATTTTAACATTTACATAGTAAAATAATCTTTTTTTTTTTTTTTTTTTAAAATGTGCTGAAACAAATCTAGACTTTAAGACAAAGACTGACTTTAGTGCCTTGTGCATGGATGCTAAACCTGCCTAAAAATCACCCAATTCCATCTCTTATGGACTCTTGTCACCCAAATATGTTCTG